ATACCGCCCCTCAATTACCTCCGCCGATTGCATTGTATTGCGAGAGAAGGAACGTAAGGAGCCATCTCGAGGTCTCCGTGCGTCGTGCGCGACTTGTTCGAGTTGTCGTTTCTATCTATGCAAATAAAAAATCCAACATAAAAAAGCTGCTCAGATATTTCCCAGTGCAATATACGTGTACGATTTCTTGAAAAAGTTATTCTATCTAAAGCAAACCGTTTAAATTTTATTGTAGATGTAAGAAAGATTTTGTTTTACCGTTTATTTGTAATATTAGTCTACTTGAATGAACGGGAAATTGATTAAGATGTCTCTCGATTAAGAGATTAATCGGTCTTGTATTAATCTGTGAGATAGCTAAAGATATATTTTGTTTAGCCTCCATTTTTATATTGTATCTCTTTCCAAGAAAAACAGAGGTTTACGATTGGCGCGAGGAGTAGGTGTCTTAGATCATAACAACCTATGATCTTGTCCCGCGATCTAAGGAAGTGTCTGAGACAGCTAAGCGCATAAATGGCGAATTGACTCAGCAACATTCGACGCAACGGCGCCTTGTTTACCGGCGAGAAAAAGACTCGGACAAGCTCGAAGTGCGTCGCTGCACAGTACGGACGAGTAGAAACATTACATTGTACGCCAGTTACAGCGAAAGGGTTGACATTTCACGCGTCTGTCGTAATTAAGTCAAAGGAACAATGACCATTGTCCGAATACGCGATAAAAATTTGGCTGGCCGCATGATGTATCGGTACAATACTTGGCAACCTTATTATCGACATCCTCCTTTCGGACCTCACATGGCGTTGCCAGAAGCCAGATACTCGAGCGTGACCTTTTCTAGCTATTTCTCTCTTTAGAGACGAACCCTAATGCCCCGTTGCTCCATCCCCCGCGAAAAGTTATCGAGTAATCTCGGAGAGGCCGCTGGGCTCGATACAAGAATTGTGGTTTCTCTCAAATTGAAAAAAAAAAAATATTTGCATATTATTAATTTCCAGATCTTATAAAAAGATCTGGAAATTAATAATATGCAAATATTTTTTTCGGATATATATTACTCGCGTGTCGAGTAAGAAATTGCAACCAATGGTGGATATAGTTTGTCCTACGATATTTATAGGAAGAATATAAAGAAATATGTAAAGTCGACGGTGATGATCTCATTGTTATATATGCACGTTATAATATTAGGTCAAAGGTAAAAAAAAGTCAGAGCTGTTTAACCCTAAAATGAATTATTATCTTAAATTCGGTTTTCCGTCTTGGGACAAACGTTCGCGTGCCCGTCGATTTTGAATCGATTCACCACATCTTTTCGCTTTCATTCTTTCTTTTGCACGGAATTACGCCGTGACAGGTCGATGTCAAATACAAGGACATCGTGCCGGATGGTACGACTCCCATTGCCTTGATATTCGTCGAAATACTCTCCCCGTGCCATCCATCGCGAACTCCCACGAGATTAATCGATGTTTGCCATGACGCCGCGAAAACAAGATCGTTACGCCCTTATCTCTTACCCGATGATATTTTAATCTTCCAAAGTTCTTACATACGTATCTGTACATATAACTAATAAGATATTACGAGCACCAAATGGATCGACGGTTGTATACCGTAGAGATACGCGCGAAGATGAGCCGTGTGAATGTGTAATTGATGAGAACAACATCATAGTTTCCACAAAAGCCGTCGCTGCCTCGCAGAAGCGTTAATTCCGCTCATTGTAGGCAAAGTGGATAATGATGGTGCCGCGACCTTATTTCCTAGGCTGCGTCGATTAACCGACGCGGATATACCTCGAGAGGATATACGCGCAAATATACATCAGTTTCGATGTACTCGCATTGTCGGTCAGGGCCCATGAATGTTATAATCAGCGTACATTGCGCCTTGATGATAGGCCTCGGCACCATTTATCCTCGGGGCCCCGATAGTAGCCCCGTCGTCGGGTCCCGTCATTCAATTGTCCGATAATCTATTAGAAAAGCCAACCACGACCCCCTCCCTATTTTCTCCTTCTCTCTCCTCCTCTTCCCACGCGAGAAAAATGGTCTACGAGCGTGATACCGTAAACCTATTTTCAGACGCGAAATTGCGCCTCGTAAAAAGCGCGCGAGGCGCATAGCGGAACATTGTCCATAACCGCGTCTCTCCTTTTCCTCTTCCCCCTTGTCCTCCTCCTTCTCCTCGTCGTCTAGCTTGATGCATACAGCGTTTTCCATCGGGATGCAATTGGTGCACGCAACGTCGGCGAATCACCGTTTCGGATTAGTTGCGTTTCTCGACGATTCATCCACCTTAATTGGTTGCGCTCGAAATCTTCGGTGAACTTGAAAACGTACGGAGGTAGTTTACCTGGATTATCGCCCGATCGCTTAAGTGAATACGCAGGCGGATAAGTTTAGCTAAATGTCGGAAGCTAATTTGAGAAATTAGCACATGTCATTATATGAGAACGAACGGAAAAGAAATATTAGACATTCGCTCGAACTTGTGTAAGCAAGCCGCTGTAAATGACTCCGTTCTTGCGTGACTTAGATCTTATAAGTGCAACGTCACTCTGCAGCTCTTATTTTCTCGATTTGAAATAGCGTTCCGAGCGAAATAGACTTCTCGACATTCCAGCCTCGCACCCGGTCTTTCGACACGCGTTTTCTTTCGCCGCGTTCACGCGCGATAATCCAGGAAGTAGCTCAGGTTACCTCGCGAAGATCCGTCCATTTTCTTGGCTCTTCGGGGAGCAAGCCGCCGCGTAAATGACGTGCTGCGATTCGTATCGCGTTGAATAACCACGAGTACGTTTTACGAACGGAAAAAAACGTAGACGAACGTCGAACGACGTTCCTAGGAACGTGGTGTTTTGCGGCGCCGACCGCCGTTCGCATGGCGCCCCGGCAACGTGTTGTTGAACGCAAAGCAGGTTGATGGCCTAATTAACGCGAGTACTCGCGTTAATGGCTAAACGTGCATAGGCGTCATTCATACGTCATTCCGGCATATTTCCCGGCGCACCCATCCTGTCCCTCGTAGGATCGCTCGCTTCCTACGGACCCGATTGATTATCCTCGTTACTTATGCTCGCGTCTCGCGACTACCTTTCGCGAAAGACGTGGGCACTGCGCCCGACATGTATCGGCACGATCACGAGACACAATGGAGTACGAGGCGTGAGATATAGGAAATTAAAAAAATATGAGCATAACTAGTAATCGAGAGAATCTTATTGATCCTTTGCAATTCTATGCCTTTCAAGCTGAACTCGTGTAAGGAATAATTCCTACGGAAGGTGATAGGCTGGAGTAATCTTAACTTACTTGTTTGGCGACGAAATTCTATTTTTAGTAGTCGATAAAAAATGAATAATATATACTAAACTAACGAATGCTCGAGCGAGCGTTCCAAAAGAAGTAAAATGATAGCAAATTAATGCTCGATAATCTGCACGTTCGATGAAGATGTATTCTGCATTAATGATGCAGCAATAAACCAACAGGAGATTTCGCAAAATCTAGTCGCGCGCGGCTTCCCGACATTTCTATCAACTTCTCTCTGATATGCAATCATCCGAGATGTAATAACGCGGAAACGTCCATTCATCATCGTGATAGTGCAACGCGCGAGATGCAACGATGCGCAATGAAGGCCTGTGCATCATTAATTAAACCGGAACGTCATTTCCTTGATTGCAAATTAATGATTTCTTACTATTATCCGTTAATTTGAGATGACCGGAACGCACGATTAGTTATTTTGCAATATCATTACACAGCTTTACTTACCTAGAAAAGTGTTGTAATATATTTTAGTAATGTCCAATACTATACGTACTTATAGCAAGTCTTCTCGAAAAAATTAAGGTCGAATTTAACAAATCTCAACAAATGAATATTTTAAACGATTTAAATAAAATTCGTGTTCGTGATATAACATTTAATCTAGTCTACATCCAAGATAAAATAAATATAACCTTTTCATTATAACAGTAGAATATTTAACTGGACTGATCTGAGATCTCTGTTATGAATTTTCGTAAAACAGGAGCCAGAAATCTTCCAGCGACTAAAAAAAAACGAAGCCGCGCACGAGGCACGCGTGCGTTCCCTAAGTGGTATTACTTCTAATTGAGTCGCCTACTCTCCATTCCCTTCCCCGAAACAATTCGGAGAGAAAAAGGAAGTGTGTCATATTCCTAATTACTTGGTCCCCTACCAATTCTCCTGGTTTCTTTTTTTTTTTTTACCCCTTTCTCTTTAGCTCGTACGCACGCGTACAATGCGCGCGTGCCGCACGCATCGCGCCTCATTAAGCGGAAATCAGCGCGGATTTGCATTGGTAAATTGCAGTGCCTGCGCTCTCCATCCGCTGCTTCGTCGGCATATTAGGCTTATCGAGAGATGTGGAACTCGGGATACGGTACTTGTTCGATTCGATTTCACCAATGCCGATTTCACCATTGTCAGTGCCTGCCGCAAGTAGTTCATCTTGTTCTTGGAAGAAACGGCCCGAGACATTATCTGAGAATATCGACAAATACGTGTACCTAAAAGATACCCTTATTTATAACCGATTATTATATTAACCTTCTCTGACTCACGCAAAAGAGAATAAGTTTTTAATTGTTGGCTAGAAAATATTAATCGGAATATGCCGAGTTTGGCTAAAAACTGGCTGATATTTACTGATATTTACCGATCGATTTGATCTGGTTAGTTACTGCCGAGTAAAGGACTAATCAGTTTCCGGCCAGTAATAATTTTTTCACAAATATTTTTCTACTGAAGTAACTGAAAAGGTAAATTGCAAAAAAGAAGGAGGAAAATTTCTTTGCGAACTCTACAGTGCGTTTAGAATATATTCGTGAAACTGATCAATAATATTGGCTAAAAGTTGGAATGCCGTATCTGAAACGATTTAAAAAATTTTTGAACCTCGATTCCGATCTCGAATCTTTAATCTGGTACCGCTCATCAACTTGTCCTTTGTCTTGATTCTAGGGTGTTGAAACCGCCTGGCGGCGGCAGCAGCGATATTTTCGGCGCGGCCCCGGAAGAGACGAGCCCGCGGCGCGTCAAGGCCCACAATCAGTCCCAACTGGGCTCGGCCCTCTTCGGCGACACCAATGGCACCGACAACGCGAATACCGCCGTGTCGCCACGCAGCAACAAGCCCGGTAATGATTCATACAATCGTCTGTTTGGCCCCCCCGATGCCCCACTCACCACCCCAAACGCGAGAAATCACATGCGCAGCAATATTCCCCTCAGCGGGGGATCGTCGATCTCGTCGTTATCGTCGGCCGCTGCGGCGTCGCCCGCGAAGAGCACGGCCAGCAACGGCAGCAACTCGACGCCGGGCATCGTCAACGGCTATGCCAGCAATGGCAGCAACTCCTCCAATGATATGACAGGTAAGGATCCGCGGCGAACGAGGAAACGAGTCGCGAAATTTGTCCCGGGGTGGACAACAGCGGTCTGTCCACTTTCCCTCGATATCAGAATCTGATTATATCATATCCGGTATATCTAATTAGTAATTTCATGTTGCGAGTTAATACAAGATAATAGAAAATTACTACATCTTTCCTCCCTATAATTTAACAGAAATAATTGCAAATAAACTTGACTGAAATTTTGTAAAAATCATTTACTTTGAAAGATAGTATACTATTCGATAAATCGATATTGAGTGGACATGGTTGATTACTGTTGGAAAATGTACAGACACGTCGCCCCGGGACTCTCTAAACTGTTTCCACATTCAGGTGATCAGAAATGCTCCTTTCTGTAAAACGTGCCCAAAGGCGACGATCCTGATCTAAATTGAAATATGTGTGTGTCGCAGGCTCTTGGCATAAAAACCGTTCTGATTATTATGCTTTTGTCACGATGGAAAATAATTTTTTTCGTTACAATCGATCGTTAAAAATTTACACTCGTTAAAAATACGTGCAAGATAAACTTTGCATTTTAAGAAAGATTATTTTTTTACCTTCCGTGTAAAGAACGCGAACAAAAAAAGAGATTAAAGATATTTTGTAATTCCGCTGATTGCGCTAGACGCGATTGCTTTAAAATAAAACGATTAAAACGTACGATATTTGTCTGATCGATAGCGCAGCGTTCCGATGTTTTTCTTTTACTAGTCGCGAAATCATGCCTAATGAGATCAACGGCAAAAGTCCTTCAGTTGGACACGAATCGACACGTGCTTTTTGCGCAAACCGAGTTATCGAGCCGAGTCAGCTTTCGGTCCGCCGATGCGGAGCTAGCGAGACACTGAGGAATCCAAATGAATATCACTTGTTTAATATATTACCGTTCTCTCTTGTCTTTAATATATGTCATCTTCCTTGAACTGTTCGCAAGCAGCTTTTAGGAGAAAGAAACGATTTCGTAAGTGTGTAACGAGACATTCAAGTAGATGACACACGACACTACCACACTTTGTTCTTTAATCATAAAAAAATCGCTCGGGAATCATTTCTCTTGTAACGTAAAAAAAAAAAAAGAAACGGTAGAAATTTTTGAGAAAATTGGTATTGACTGTCGCGACGAAAGAAATATTTGATTTAAATGCGATTATAATTTTGATAAAAAAAAAAAAATCTACATTATGTACTTCGCATCATCATGTTATTTTAGGGCCTGCCACGAAAATAGGAACACATATTTTGAGTTAGACATGCTGTATTAGATCTTAAGTTTGTAATTCGTTCTGCTAGTAACATTTACATCTTGCTTTACGTTAAATTATTATTTACATTACGTTTTTCATACACGATTCACTTGTGACGAATTTATAGTAAACGACATTGAGCAAATTACAAAGGAAAAGGAAAATTTATGTTCGATTGCAATGATCATTATTAAATTATTATGTAATTTTATTTCTATAAATTCTGTTAAATGAATAAATCCAATAAATTAGTAATATACTGTTGATTACAAATATATTATCCAGCAAAACTTTGAAAGGCGTGATTTTCAAAATAATTTTTTTGCAAAAGAAAAGAAATTTTTCAATGTCGTTTGCCATACGTCATTCACGAATTTCTATGGACGAAGTGCACAATCAAAACTCGATAGCAACATCGTTTTTTGCAATAATTTTCAATCCGTTTAACAAAAGCACGATCGCAGGAATTTTTTTTATAACACCAACGTGTTAATTTCGGGAAAATGGAATCACAAATGGAATACGTATCATTAAAAAAAAATAAAAATGCCTAAACTACAAATTTTTTTATTCATATTTAGTATAATACACTTGTTTTGCTTTCTCACAATGCTATACTATTGATTTTGTATTTTTGCTGTTGTAAATATTCATCCCTTTCCTCTTCACGATTTAAGCACAACACACACCGTTTCTATTTTGCTTTTATCTTAATTTTTATCGTACGGACAAATTCAAGATATTGAAAATATTTTTTGCTTGATAAATAGATGTCGAATCATGAAATTATGTGAAAAGCTTTTATATTAATAGACATAAATGTAAATCCGAAAGATATAAAAAATAAATGAATACATAGCTTAGACAACGAGATATATAGAATTCAGATATAACGAAATAATATAAAAGTAAAAAAATAAAAATATTTGCAAGATAAAGATTTTGCAAGATTCATTTTGATACGATTTTCTCGGCAACTTGGAATAGGCAACACGATATAATACGATATCTGCGATCTGTCCGTACGAATTGACCGCGTATTAACACAAGTTGGTTGGGTTACGGTTGTGGGTTTTGCGACGGTGTTATGATGCATGGGGTGAAACGGTGAAATGGCTCTGTGGGCTCTTACGCACGTCACTTCGCGCGCACGTGGCGGTGAAAATGTGGGCTGTTGAACGGTGTGTGAACCGCACCCCCATCGCCGCGTCCCTTCGGCAGGAGGATTGCCGACGCGCAACCCGGTCACCGGAGACGGAATCGAGGTGACGCCCATGAGGCGCATCCCACGAAAGTGTCGAGGTAATGTTAATTGTTAATTATCCGATTCACGAACGTTCCTTAATCCCTTTCTCAGGATACGCGTTTCGATTTTCCTGACCTCTGTCTTTTGGAAAGTAAATTCTTAACATCGATGAGACACCGATCAGGATTATGAAATCCTCTACCTGAAAATATTAATTAAATTTAAGTGAGTTGTAAATTAAATAAATTTAAGTTGTCGATTTTATTTTTACAATTTTCCAATTAAGTAAGCGAATAGAACTAACTTGAGATTCCTAATTTCATTTTCACTTTCCCTTAATTCTTTCAATTTTTTAAAGCGATTCTTGTGAAAGGTATTTCAGAATTAAATATAGTTTAATGTAAAGTATAAGCTAAATTTAGTCGTTTAAATTAGTATAGAAATTTTATATATATATATAAAATTCTATAATTTTCTTTAATTAACTATAAGATATATATATATATATATATATATTATAGTTAATTAAAACTTGGAGTGAAATTGCTCTCCGCTTTTTTTATTCTTTCAATCTCTCAAGTTGCGAGTACCTTGTTAAAAGATACTCATCTAATCAAGTCAATTTTCCGAACGCGAACATTCGAACGGAAGAAAATTAATTACTGAGAGAGTTCTGTTTTGGAGCGCGGAATACATAATTGAATACATCCGCTAATAAATTGTAAGTACAAGAGTGTAAATACCTTGTTATCTCGTAGCACGTGAATCGTGCTAAACAACGTAATTACAAAAAGTAATAATTATACGCTCATAAATATTTATGCGAAGGGAATTTAAGCGCGTGTGTGTCAAATATTCGCGAATGTTTCGAGAGGTTTTGAGTCGCAATCTTGCGAGATTGAAACGAGAGCTCTCGTTACAACACGTTCACGATAGATAAAATTCTCTGGTTCGAGGAAACGTCTCTTCTCGCGCGGACGAGATCTCGAACGTAGCGAATTGTTTATCGAGCGGCATGGAATTACGAGCCTGGTGTACCGTTATACGTCTTCCGCGTTGTTTAATCGCGGTACGGTATTTAATACGGCAATAATATTCACTTTCGTTGTCGCTCGTTGTCGGGAAATGCATTTTTAGTCAACTATGTTGCTGTAAAAATTGCAGTTTACGGAGAGATATCGTGGCTATTTTTATTTCTCATATGATGTATTTCTCATTTGATGTGACATCAAATAATAAAGCAATTGACAATTTTTCGGACAATTGATAACTATTCTCTTGTTTTTTTTTTTTTTTTTTTTGCAAGTTAAAATCGGTCAATAATATTTAACCAAAAAAAGTAGTATTAATGGTTTCGTGCTTGCATAATTTGTGTTGCATAATTTGTGTGTCCCTCTCGTATTCATTTTTATGTTATAAATTCGACCAATTCATTCACATTGAAGACTCGCTTAACTCACTCAAAAAAATTTGATATGATTCAGACGTAAAATAATCGATGAGTATCTTAAGCGAGCTTTTATTCATCACTTCGCATCTCGATATTCATGGGATGCTACGGTAAGTTCATGCAATCATGTTAGAGCGGAAATACATAAATAATATCATATATACCGTTGTGTTTTTTCGTAGCTTTATTACAGGTTTGTTAATCCGGTTCGCAGGCGATATGCGAATTTGTTATTCGATGGCTTTACGACTGATTGAACTGTGTGCTTAATTGCCTGTGAAATTAAACTATTTCTCTCTCTTTCTCTCTCTCTCTCCCCTTTTCCTCCCTAATTCCTCGAAATAAGCTCTCAACTGATCCGACAACTGTACCGATTGTGCATAATCGAACAAGTTAAGGAGTGATGTTCCGAGATGTAGTTGAGAAATACATCCTGTAGGGTTTAAAAAACAGTAGCGTGTGAATGTGACGGCATGTGACGTGAGTTTCAATTTTGAATTTTGGAATCTACCAATGTTTTCTGTCAGACGCGTAGGAACGACGGAATCAATTAATAAGTTATGTAACTAATCTCTCTTGTTGATTTCCTTCCACAAGATTCGGTTCCGAGAGGGAAATCGACTTTAACTGGCTACGTTGAAAGTTCCTACGCTCTGAATCATTTGCATGCCAGACATTTGCGTGTTTAACGACGTAGAAATGAGACGTAATTTGCATACCTCTCAATTTTTCATACATTAGATATATATTTGTCTTTACAAATAGAAAAATCTTTAACATGTATTGCCCAAGAGCATAGCACGGTTATTTAAAATTGATTACATATATAAGTGCTATTCTCTACAAAACGTAGTGCAATTAATTCTTTACAAAAATTCGAAGAATTTTGATTCATTATTGCTCAATAGCATAGTATGAGCACAAACGTATATAATTTTTATTTAAAAATAATATGTCAATTTTTAGTTCTTCTAAAAAAGAGACAACCGAAGTTAATAGTTGCGTCATACTTAGTTAATACTTAGTTCTCGATCGCTCAGTCGCGTTGAGCGAGAAGTTCGCGATACTAAAAAAAAAAAAAGGGTACTGAAATAATCCAGACGTTAGAATCAGCCATCAGGCTTCATCCAATTCGATTAACGAGAGACGAGAGACGAGAGACTAACGAGAAAAAATAATTTCTGCAGATGGTAACCCGGTAACTGGAATCGGCTACGCGTCCGAGGCACAGAAGAACGGGCCGGTGATGCAGAACGGAACCGCCAGCTCGAATTCCAGCAGCAGCGGCGAGAAGTCGAGCGATACGTCGCCTGCGACGGCAAAGCCGCCGGCACGCACCCGCGTCCCACCCGGTGGCTATTCATCCGGACTCTGGTAAAAGAGCGACGTCGCCATCGGAGATTGTCCCATCCTCTTTCCGGGAAAGGACATCCCGATTCAATTCTTTCGGCCCTGTACTCTTAATCCATTAAAGCCCGCCTTAAGATCCACCTAGAGCCTTCTAATCATCGTCGTCACCGTAGAACGTTCCAGAAGCGGAAGTCTATTTTGTCAATGTACATCTGCAACGACGGACATAATACCTTTTCTATGATTTTTTTTTTTTTTTTTAGATAAGCGCGCGAGCAAAGAGACGCAAGATAATAAAATCGTGGGCTTTGATGGATTAACACATTCATTCTCTTTCGCTTTGTACTAATTCAAGAAAATACATAAAAAGTAAGAAGAAACGTGATCTTTAGATATCTTGATTCTTGAATGATAGATAACTCTTTCGGCCTTAAGAGGGAACAATAGTTATTGTATTAAAATTGATTTAGTGTGTTATATATATGTGATACATATTGATAATCAATCACTTCTTTCAAACAAAGATATTTAGCGCAGCGATGTTCGATATTTATTGGCAGGGCCGAAAGGGTTAATGAAAAGGCCGGCGAAAGTAACAATAAAATCGTGAATCCCCGAAATGTTTGCAACACGGAAACGAGCAAAATGTTGCGTTTGATTAGCAAATCGACCATGTGTTTAAATTTATTTTAGATTAGAAAAAATTTTCTGAGATGTTCCTATTTCAATTACATAACGCAGGAATATTGTTTCTTATAAAATTAGTTATCAAAAGCAATAATATCGAACAATAAAACGATAGAAATGTTTCCAAATATTTTAACTTCTATTGATTTCGTCGTTACGTTGAAAACGCGAATGCGCACAAGGGTGAACCGAGTTCCCAAGTTCCTTGAGCGTAAATTACCGGTCCTTCAATTAGCAACTCCAGCACAGGTTTTATCGCGTAACTGTATAGAGATAGTTAAAGCGATCATCGCGCGTAAAACGTACTTCTTTGTGCTTGGCATACCGTGCTGGTCGGTAAACGATTCGCAAGTCGTAAATCACTTCTCTAGGAAGCGCGATTTCCTATCGGCAACGGTTTACATATAATGAGTCACGTGAATAAGCGGGGAAGAGCAAATAACTCTTGATGGAAGTAAAAACACTTGTTTTAAAATAAAAGTATAAGAAAATATCTGAAATATGTAAGGTGCGTAAGGCTTCAATTCAGTTTAGGAATCTAAAGAAGACAAGAAGTACGCTCTGAGGCATTTAACTTGTATCTTGAAACTCTTGTTGATAAGTGCTTTTTTGCCGTATTAATAATCTAATTGTAGAACTTGAATATTAAAACTATTGTCTACAATATTTTATAACATTCAACTCAGTCCATCATTGGCGTTATCTGTTAATTTAGATGTTCTGATATTTTTTATATCTTCTTAAATGTTTAATAGCATTTTGACAAATAACGAAAGCATCGTTTGTTGCGTATTCATGCGGTCCATGATTCAAATTTCTCGTCACCATCGAGTCCGTGAGCGTGGTGTTCTGCTCGTTTCCAGTGTTGCGTGTCAATCCGTTTAATTGGGAAAATTACGCATCCACGAGAATTCGCTCCCACCTCGAGGTGAAGGGCAAAGATATGTATATTCACGTATTCATATACAGAGTACCAAGATTGTAGGACCGCGATTACTATATACAATATGGCGTTGATCAGGAGCGAGAAATAAAATCGTAGCACCAATCAATCCTGCCACGCGTCGAAAAAGAATTGAAAGAAAGAAAAAAAAAAGCAGAACAGCACACAATAAATGGGATAATTAACACTTTGAACGGTGCAACCGTTTGATTCGTGGTACTGTTAAAAATATATGGGAAATGAAGAATTCAAGTCGCGAACGACATGAGAGGAATGGACTGAAAAGTATAGCAGCGTGTTTGACAATGAAATTGCGAAATGAAGACCTCGGAACTGTACATTAGAAGTAGGCATGTGTTATTTCGAGAAATAAATATGTACCATGTATAACCCATTAAAACCAAGTTTCAAGTGCTTTCTTAATCTCTCCGTGCCTTCTCAATCGTATGATTTATCGTTGCGCGAACGATTAAAGAAAAACCGTGCTCCGTTTTTGCTCGCGAGAGATTGCCTTCGGTGATGTTTTGATGATGAAATGAATGGAAAGGATGCGACGGTGTATGCCACACTGTTCGGTAATGTGGAATTTGTCGCGTCACCGTCGGAGGTTCTTCGAAAGTCAAAAACGAAGAATTGTCGTTTGATACTCTTGATTCATCCGCTATTATTATTTATCTATTTATCGGTATTGTATACTCTTTATCTTCTTTTCAACGGGCAATGACACCTTTCGTGCCCGAAGAGTTGAGAAACGATGACTTATTTCTCACTCGTCGTGCACTCCGTCTGCCGTTGCCTCGCTTCTCTTTACTTATGATAGCAGCGCGTAATCGAATGTATTTATTTCGTAGCAAAGAGTCGTGCACATGTATTATCATTTTTTTCTTTCTCCACGTAAGAATTTTTACGCGGTCGTTTGGTGTGAGTAAACATTGTTTGTAACACAATGCATTCGTATTCGTCATAAGTAATCTTTTTATATTCTGGCAATGATTAATAAAATTTTGTAAGCAAGACGCCTCGTCTCGTTCCTTCCCAAAATAGCCGTAAAGAATTTAAGTACGCTCAACTATTTTAAATCTTCTTATTCTTTGTCTAGGATTAGATCCTGTTATTCAACTCACTTCACATATGCCTATGGTACGCTTGTAGATGGTGGTGCACGGCATATGGGACCTATTTTTTAACTACAACATACATTCCTAATAACTTTTATTATGAAAATAGATCAATATAAAAAAACATATAACGCAATAATTATAAATACATATTAAGTGAGAATCACCAATATGTAATAAACATAATACAAAAAAAACTTTGCGAAAATAGAAATAATTACAGTTTTGTTTTTGTATGACAATGAATAATGAATGAAGCTATGTTAAATTTCTATATGACTAATTCTATACGAACAATTACTATTTTTACATATTAAAAATGTGATAATTAAAGCGCAACACGCATAAGTAAATAATGTCCTTTTTATCTCTAAACAGGTAATTTATCGGTTAATATTTTATCAAATCATAAAATTTTTTTCCATTCTTTTTCTGAATAGTTTCTTTAAAATAATTTTACGAGCATTTAAATGTAACGCAATTATACTTAATGTATTAAATGGTAGCAATAAGACTTCTCATTCCAGCACCATTAGCTTTGCAAAGAGCATTGAATATGTGTTTGTGATTAGTTTCTTGCTCCATTCTCTTAGCTATTTCATGCGCTTTCTTTGTGATTATAGATGGTACGCCTGCTAATCGAGCGGCATTGAATCCGTAAGATTTCGGGCAAGCTCCTTCACTGAGCTTATACAAAAATGTTACAGTCTCTTGCGAAACTTCCTCTTCCTCTTCTGTCTCTACCATACATGCCTGAAAATTAAAAATAATAGATATTTATATTATCTTTTGAAAAAAATTAATTTTAAATTTGTCAATTTCTCACCATATGGGCTAACGTAACTTCTTTATTGGTTTTGTAATCTTCGACCAAAGAATGATAATGCGTCGAGAACAATGTACGACACTTGAGCTTGGTCAGTGCATCGACAACCGCAGCCGCTATTGCTGTACCATCGTAAGTTGATGTGCCACGTCCTACGATAAGAAAATATCTTTTATCAAATATATTTTATAGCGGAATAAAAGGAGCAATAATCGATAGCGAAAAAGTTATATGACAAACGACAAAAAATTCTTATTCTGAAAATATTAATATACTATACATATTTCTTACATACATACATATTTCTTCTCTAATTCTCACCTAATTCATCAAGCAGAACAAGCGAATAGGGCGTAGCGTGTTGCAGTATTGCGGCGGTTTCACTTAGTTCGACCAGGAACGTGCTCTGACCAGCCAGAATATCGTCATTTGCACCCAGTCGCGTGAAAATACGGTCTACTAGCGTTATGCAACACGAGCTGGCTGGAACATAGCTGCCCTGATTACGCAAGGAGATTAAATTCATATTTTATCGATGTAATTATCGATTATTAGTTCCACTTGCATATATTTTTCTTGTGAGACTTACTATCTGCGCCATGATCGTGATCAGGCCCACTTGACGCATTAGAGTTGATTTGCCTCCCATGTTTGGTCCCGTCAGAATCATGAAAGAGGCGGTGCCATCAGTTGCCAACAGAGTGTCATTCGGTATAAAGTTGTCAGATGTGATGCAAGGGTGCTTTCCGTCTTGTATTTTGATGAATATCTGTAAAAGTAATATTCATTATCTTTATCTTCTGACAAATGATTATTAATCTGCGGTCTCTGTTACCCTAACGATACCGTTACCTCACCGTCCGACCCGTCATGTATCTCTGGCATACACATATCGCTATTTCGTGCGTAATCCGCGAGAGAAATAAGAACGTCCATCGTGGCCAATTTGTGAACGGCCGCATGCCACATGTCGTACTTTTCGCTGAACTGCGCAAATATTCGCCTATTAAGATCCTTTAACACTTTATCTCTGTGCTCTTCTGCACTCATTTGCCTCGCCAAAAGTTCCTGCACCAATTAAGATTAATGTTCTTTTACTATTTTTTTAATATTTTTATAAAGAGTATCAATAAGATCTTCTGTAATTAAAAATATAAAGTTCATCCATACCTTTGCCTCGGCAGTATAATAGCGTTTGAAGCCTTTTCTTTGTGATTGTAGTTCGTATCCGGGACCGACTTTCTTGATTTGCGAATCGGGAATCTCAATCTGATAACGTTTCCTATCCGTTCCGAAGAAAGTTATTTTTACACCAAAATGCTGCTTTTGTTTTTCAAGGTATTTGTCTAGATTTTTCTTGTTCTCTGCGAGTTCGGTTAAAACCGAATCATATTCAGCATCAACCCCCTTTTTCGGAACAATGCAACCTTGCTTCTTGGCATCTTCGTGATCAAACGCGGTCTGAAATTGTATATAACGCCATAGATATGTCAAGTAAAAAGAAAAATGAACAATTAGAAGAATTGTTCAAAATGGAGGCATTACCTTAAAGTAATCCAATGTTTCTCTTAAATGAGGAAAATCGCCTTCCGGTTCATATCGGACACAACGTGTTATCAAGTTACTTTTGAAATCTGTAAGATATAAGTATTAGGTAGTGCAAAATTTAATTTAAAAAAAAAAGTAAAACAAGCATACCATCAAACAACTCGACAAATTTTAACACCTCTTCGAATTTGGCGAGTGTCGTAGTGAAATCCACGATTACTCTCTTCGAATATGTCGGGCCTTCGAACATTATGGCTCTACCATCAGGATGATTTTTCATTCTTGCTGCATTTCCCTGAGCATGTATTCTATGAAAGAAAAAAAAAGATATATATACATGGAAATTTCCAAGACGGAGTTAATTGTCTCTAATTTCAACTTACTTGCTCAGCAACCTTTCGAGATCCGGTAAAGTTGACAAAATTGCGCGAGCTGATTGCATTACATCCATACGATCCACTAATTCTTGTATAGCTTCCTGGCGTTCTATAATAACAGTTTTGCGGCAAGACGGCCTGCAGATCCATTCACGTAGTAATCTAATAAAAATAATTTACATTCCTTGACGTATAGAACCATGTAGCATAATAATTATAGAAAAAGAAGTATTCACATAAAATTCGAGGTTTACCTTTTGCCGAATGCGGTACAACAACGATCTAATGCATTGGTGAGCGAACCCTCACCGAAGATCCTTAGATTTTTTATCGTAACGGCATCTATTACCATGGTGTTTGCGTAATTAAGACCTGCGCGATTGCTCGCGGCTGAAAAATCCGGCGGAATATAGGTATTAAAGCAACCTTGCGCTAATAATTGCTGTTCGAGTAGAAACTCCTTCAGCAAATATACACATCCTCCGAGCGCGTGTATCGCTAATTCCTTATTATCGGCTGGCGTTAAACCCAAGCTGTCTCCTGCACAATAAAAATGATTCATATTACGAATTATTCGTAACATCATAAATACGTAAAACAAAGAGAAAAAATATATTTAATTATTACCTTCGTTAAGATACGATTTCAAACCTTCAGGCCATGCAAAATTGGAATCTTTTTCTGTTTTGAAGTAACCTCCTTCGTGAAGTTTCTAAAAAAAAAAAGACAGGTATTTAATAGATGCGAATAATTGTTTATATACATATTTTTATATATCATGATTATCTATTACTCACTTTTAATACAGTTGTAGCAGACCAGAATTGTGTCTCGCGCTGTAGTGATTCTTTTAACGCTACTGGTAAAGTATTATTTATAAGTTGCAAAGTTTTTTGCGATAGATTACCGCGCTCGTGTATTATCTGAAAACCGAAACAAAAATAAGCATTTGTAAAAGATATTTATCAAGATATGCAACGTTATCAAGATTAACATGTATATCACATACGTGAACCGGTGGATGGTGAGCCAGTAGAGTTAACAGTCTCGAATTGCAGCGATCATCGATGAATTGACCAAGATAAAATTCACCTATCGTTGTATCTACAAAACATACGCCATAGGAGCTGATCGATGAACTAAGATCATTTTTTTCAACCAGAGATAACAAATAATTGGAGTTTGGTGTAGACGCCTCCACGTCCAACGGAGTATATACTCTTGTGCCTTTGGTACTGACTTGACAAATTTCACGCTTTACGACTTTATCAAACTTTGTCGCTTTAATCACTGCAAATAAAAGAACCAATATGGTTATAATTTACACACACCACACCACACATCACATCACATCACACCACACCACACCACACCACACTACACCACACACACACACACACACACACACACACACACATCTGCTCCTACATGAAACAAAATATAAAATTTCTACGTAATTTCATACTTTTATTACAACGCGCTGACATCATTTCCGGATTCTCCGTTTGCTCCACTCGTGCGACTTTGTATCCCCTCTCTATAAGACTTGCCGAGTAACGACCATATCCGATTTCAGGAAATCCAGAATGCGCGAATTCACCCTATAATAATTAATGTTATATAACAGGATTTAATTTTGGTATTTTTTGTACATCTAATGAATGTGCTTTAATAGTGTAGAAAGATAAAAATATATAACATATTTACATCTTTCTATATTTAAAAGGATACCATTAATGCACGTCATCATACACAAACTTACTCGCATGTACGTGAGGCTGAGTTCATTGACACCGATAACTGCGTCCATGTGATACAATTCATAGAATTTACCGACTTTGAAAAAAAGCACACAGTCAAAATGCTTGCTTTTTAATTCCCACCATTGTCTCATCGCCTAAACAAATTTTAAACTGTAACTAAGTTGATGTTGATATATGGGAAAATATTTAACAATAGGAGCTTGTCTTACAGGAGTTTGATTATTTAAGAATTCGATGGGTACATAGACTGTCCTGGAATCATAATCTGGATCCTTCGGTGTTCTCCTGTATATGTCCTTTATCTTATCTGGCTGTAGAAAGTCCAATTTCAAGTGAGGCCAAGTGGGCGTGACAGCAAATCCATTACTTACAGCTTGATTTTGAACTTGCGTAAGTTGTTTAGTATCTTTTTTATTCTAAAAAATAGAAAATACACTAATCTCTTTCCATGGCAATACTCATTCAAAAAGTGTTTGTATCATAAGGAAATAAGCTGGTGATAGCAGATAATAATAGTTTTCCTTAATAAATAAAAAAAAACTTATTCTTAGTAATAATAGAATTGATTATAGTTCTCAGTCAGTATTCTTTATAAAAATAAAGAAATATAAGGACATTTTGTAGTCAATTATGCACTCACTGTTTTCGTATCATGAGAATGTTTTACTTGTCTTGACTTGGATCTAGACACGGTTTTTTTCCTTTTTTTCTAAAAAGACATATTAAATACAATTTTCTTTACGAAAGTATAATTGTTTATCACAGCTTGAAATATATTGCTTTTACCTCTGGTGTTTCCTCCTCTGTTCCTGTCGAAGGTTCGTGTTCTGTGTCCCCTTCAGAAACTGACTCAGAATCCTCAGATTCAGAACCTGTAATATAAAATATTATATATGTATTATTTTTCCTAAGTTGTTTGCTTAATTTAACATTGTTATAATTCAAGATTATTATTTATGGCGTTGATAAACCTGGCTTGAATTCATCTCCGGAATCTTCCCCAGATTCTTCATCAGGAATAATCAGGCGTCGTCTTTTAATCTTAACAGGTTCTTCTTCTTCTTTTTCTTCAACATCATCTTTATATAATCTCTTCCTATCATCTGTGTTTTTATTTTCTTTTCCATTTTTGACAATTTCTATATACAAATACAGTGTAATTGAATATTTAACTTAATCAAAAAGTAATATTGTTGACAAATTAAATCACAAATAAAATATAATAGAGTATATAATCCAAACTTATATATGACATAAATATAACTCTTTTAATATATTTATTATGTATCAAATTACAAATAAAATAAACTTTATGTCTACGTTGCAATAATAATACGTAATCATCATTAAATAATCAAGCTAATTTGATAATAGTAATTAACATCATGTGTGGATGTTACAATTCCACAAATCATTATTTTGTATATACAATATCATTAATTTGGAAAACAACGTCGCGTATGAGACCATGATTTATTTTATCCTCATATGCATTGTTCGATGCGATCGATAGTATACTTTCATGCAAAAAAATGATCCTTTCTCGAGCCGAACCTTTGTTCTTTTGTTTCCTCTTAGGAGTCACCGATTTCTCTTTCTCCTCCTTCGGTGTCTCCGGCTTCTTGACAGTTTTTGGGGACGTGAAATAATTAAGTATCGTGTTCACTTTCGGCATCTTTAGCTTCCATACGATCGATCGGAATTGATATTAGAAGATGTCATTCGCCGAAGTTGCGGCAAGAAAGAATCCAACATGTGATGCAAACCTGTGCAAAAACGGACGCGTCAAAAGCCCGGCAAAAGCAAAGTGTCTTCCGGGATTTTCCGAAACGTATCGCGATTCGTCCATTGGCAGTGCTGGCAAATGCCTAACCCAAATTTCCCTAGCTCCCGTCGCCGCAAGCGTGGAGAGTAGATGCTATAAAAAGAAAATTAAAATAGCCACTCTTGTATTTATTTTTTCTACGGATCGCGATAGAGGGCGCTACCGCACGGCTTTTTTTTTTAAGCATAGTAAAAATTGATGAAGACGTCGATCATCCTGTCAGTGATTTAAATTGTAGAAAAACAGCATTTATGAAAACACTATAATATCACGCTGGAATAACATGACAGATTTATCGGTACTAAAACTAATGAGAAAATAAAAAACTCGTGACTTAATAAAGAGCTTTAATGAGAATAAAGCTCCGTGATCGGAAAGGTGAGATTGCTGGACGGAAACGTCAAACGAGAGTCAAACTTGGCTAGATTCTCGAACTCGGAGACGATGCAGCGGTACGACATCCTGATCCAGGAAATCGAGGGTATCGACGACTACTTAGGCCCAACATTCCGGTAAGTGGAGTTAATAGTAACGGCAACGGAATCTTCAGATTGAAGTACGCGCTCCCAATCAAAATCCACCCCCTTCATGTGGTTGCGATTTACTTGCATATGCGCACTCGCTCGAGGGGGTGGTTTCGAAAGGGGTTGACGTTCTAGACGTGCTCATTAAGTAGCTCATAGTCCGGGCGAATTTCTAATGCGATTGCGGCGTATCGACAATGTCAATTAATCTGTCGCAGAATCTGCTCTCATCCATGGTACCCAAGCACGAATATTTGCTTTACGAGATAGAATCGACCGATGCTAATAGCATAGGTCTTGTTTTTAGGTATATTTTTGGGGATACAAAGAATGTCGCAAGGCTCTATATTTAATTAGGAGGACGATTGTTATCATGTTTGATTTATGTTGCAGAGCGATTTATGATGGTCATGAGCATCAAAAGTTTATGGAAAAGCTTGATGATCGCATCAAAGCACATGACAAGGACATCGAAAGGATGTGCAATCATCACTATCAGGGATTCATCGATTCTATTCGAGAGCTTTTGCAAGTTCGCTCACAGGCGCAACAGTTGAATGTTAGTGTTGTTGCACTGTCAGTCAGTTGATCAGAGAATCATTGACAATGATGTTTGATTCTTTTATGTAAAAACATTGTTTTTAAGATATTCTATAATACTTCATTCAATTTCATCATGCAGGTGGAGATTCTGGAGCTCGACAAGTGCATCACTGCTACGTCTACTAAAGTGATTGAGAAAGGTGAAGAACTTGTAAAGGCTCGCAAAGTTGAGAGTAACATGGCTGCTGCTGTAGACAGTCTCACAATGTGCCTTCCTGTCTTAGCTGCATATGCAAAATTACAGAAACAATTAAAAGATAAACGTTATTATCCAGCCTTGAAAACTCTGGAGCAATTGGAACATCATGATTTGCCAAAAGTTACAAATTATAGATTTTCCTCTCAAATCACACAACAAATTCCACAGTAAGTTAGAAGAGTCCTTTTTAACATGACAACGATATAATTATATCATTTTCCTTACTTTAGATTACGTGAAAATATAAAGGATGCATCCATGTCTGATTTACGAGATTTTCTAGAAAATATTAGAAAGCATTCACCAAAGATCGGGGAAGTTGCGATGAGGCATGTGAGTATTTTTAATATATATTTGTCTGTATAAATGTATTATCTATATATAATTTATCGACTTTGACAACTTTTTTTTAAATCAGACTGCTGAACAATTAGCAACTGAGGCAGAAATCATAGGAAGAAAGAAAAAAAAATCTTACATGAATCAGTCAAATGAGACTGAGGAAGAACTGAGTGCTCAAGATTTAATGGATTTTAGTCCTGTGTATCGATGTATGCATATCTATACTGTGCTTCGGGAAGGAGAAACTTTTAAAACGTACTACAGACAACAAAGAAAACAACAAGCTAGACTAGTTTTACAGCCGCCTATCAATATGGTACATTTACACATTGAGTATTACTTATTTGTGTGTATGTATTTTAGAAATGTCTTTATTTTTAGCATGAGAGTATAATCGGATATCAAACTTATTTACACGGTATTATTGGTTTCTTCGTGGTAGAAAATCATATACTAAATACAGGTAACGGATTAGCTACTCACGCATATTTGGATGAGCTTTGGACCATGGCGTTATCCACCATAGTGAATGCTTTACGTACACACTCGGTGAATTATTATATACATTGCCTATTAATTTCATGTCGTTATAATTATAACACAAGAGAATTAATTTTTTTAGGCATATTGCACAGACGCTACACTTATACTAAAAATAAAAATCTAATTATGTTATTCAATACTACTTTAAGAGTAAGTAACAAGCATTCATTTTCCATTTTGTATGTGCATGCATAATCCAAATTAGATCTAATTTTTTTTGTCTAATATTTATAACAGGATTATGGTTACTCTGTGGAACAGTTATGGGATTTGTTACAAGAAATTAGAGTTCATTACAATGAAGTATTGATGCAACATTGGGTTCAAGTATTCAGGGATATTTTGGATGAAGATAGCTTCTTGCCAATTCAGGTAATTTATATTTATGCGGAAAAATTAATTCTTGTTGCTTCTGCTAAATTATTATTATTATTTATTTATTCGATTATTATATATTCCAGGTTACGACACAAGCAGAATATGATGAAATTTTGAATCTATTTCCTTATCATGACGAGGAATTGCAAAAAGCTGAATTTCCCAAAAAATTTCCATTTTCAGACATGGTACCGAAGGTGTATCAGCAAGTAAAAGAGTTTATCTATGCTTGTTTAAAATTCTCAGAGGATTTGAATTTTACGCAAACGGAGATTGATGAAATGATATGCAAGTCAACAAATCTTTTATTAACAAGAACTTTCAGCGGATGCTTATCATCATTATTTCGCAAGCCGTCTTTAGCACTTTTGCAAGTGGTACAAATCATAATAAACACGGGATATTTAGAAAAATCTACAAAATATTTAGAAGAATTTGTGACAAATATTACTGGGTAAAAATCTGATATATCATGCCATACTCTTTCGTCTATAAGCTATTAAATAAGTCCAAATTTTTATAGTACGCCACATCAAGGGCAATTAAGCTGCATGGGTGTGGAATCCGCTATGTTTCGAGTCGCGCGAGATGATGCTGAAAAGCAGATTTGCGATAAGCTGAAAAACAAGCTGGATGAATTTTTAGAGTTGGAAAATTATGACTGGAACTTAGCGGAACCTCAAGGACATGCTTCAGGATTCATTACGGATCTCATTGCGTTTTTGCAAAGCACCTTCACGTGCTTCACTAATTTACCGGTAAATATTGTGTAATATAATGCAGCTATAAATGTACTTTGTAGAATATGATAATTAATAATTAATATTTTAGGATGAAGTAGCTCAAGTAGCATGCAAATCCGCATGTTCTCACATTGCTAAAGCCATTTTAGGCATATTAATAAGTGAAGATGTAAAACAGATATCCATGGGTGCATTGCAACAAGTTAATTTAGATACGATACAGTGCGAACGTAAGTTTTTAAATTTTATTAAATATATACATTATTACATTTATACATTATTAAAGATATAGAAATTCAAATCAATATAACTTGTAGAATTTGCTGCTTCGGAACCAGTTGTTGGTCTACCAGAAGGAACTTTATTGCAATACTTTTCGCAATTACGACAATTACTAGACTTATTTATGAGTTGGGATTGGCCTACTTATTTTCACGATTATGGACATGATTCTAGCAAATATAATTTAGTAACTCCGAATATGGCTGTGCTTCTTCTGGAAAAGTATGTATTTTTATATATATATATATATATATATATATATAT